AGTTTTGCCGAAGCGCACGCTGCATTGGCGAAAGTGAAGTCGTTCTTTTATGCGCTTAATATTAGTGAACGTGACGAAGAAAACATTTTGAACGTGGAAAGTGCTCTGTTTGGTCTAAAACGTAAAGTTTCAACAAACCAGTTGTCCATTAAAGACTTTTTTGGTAAAAAGAAGTAACTTTGAAAGAGAAACATTGTTTTTTTTTAAATGTTTAATGCTTTCCCGCATCTATCGTTTTCCCGCATTCATCGTTTTTATTTCCCACCCCCGCCGAAAACGATGCATCGAGGTTTCACTGTAGTATTGTTTTAAAATATATTGTGATTTTGGAAGTGTAGAAAGACAGAAGTAGAGCAGTTTCAAGGCAAGAGTTTCTTGAAACACCAACTGGTGAAGGAATCTTTTCTGTCTCCATTGGGACGTAATGTGAAGTGTTCATGCATTTCAATTTTTGTTGATGCCCTTTAGTACTGAAACTAAAAGGGTTAATGAATATGATTTCATTTACAGACTGTTATTAACCTAACAGTTGTAACAATTACTCTGTTTTTCAGGTAAAATATCTGGTCAATAAGGCTAGAATATGGAAACCTAAGAAACCAATTGATGACATAGTTAAAGGTATGTAATTAGAAAATTAATGTTATTTTTCATCAACTATTGTTGCATTTCATATACAGTATAATTTCATTTTTAAACTACAGAACTATCTCCTCAGAAATTAATATAAATTAAAAAATTTAAAATTTGCTACCTGAAGATGGAACTTTATATGAATGTACTGTGCTAGCTACTAAAGTGAACTCCATGTTTACATCTTTTCTTAAGAGGATTTGTCTTGTCTCAGTTGGATCCTGTGTAATTGCTTTGTACGCAGCCGTGCATATGTCAGATTAAAGTCATTAAGCGTAATGCTGATAGGTGATGCCCATTTAAACTAGTCAGTAACAATTTCCACTGCTTACAGTGGTAATGTTATTTTGTGCATTCCAATATGATTCTTCAAGATCACATCCAACACCAGTTTTGAAAGTTATGAGTGGGACATCAGTTTTAGGTAATTTTCTAGACTTGCATGCAACATCAATCAATGCCAGAAATATTCTCCATTTTATTTCACTGTTGTGTATCTTACAGAACTGAAAGAATAACACAAGATTATATATTTAATGTAGGGGTACTTTGTATAAATTTATACACTTGATGATTACTGGAGACAAGTATGTAAGATTTATTTAGTTTAGTCAGTTTTTAATATTTAAAATTCTCGTTTTACCATTCAATGTTGTCGATAGAACAGTTCCACCATGCAGAAGAGAACACTGTGTGTTATGGATGGAATAGTTCTACAAGGGTATAGCGTACTGTAATGTCAGTATTTTTCTGTCAGACGATATATTGAATCACTTGGACTGATCATAAAGCTGTCAGTCGTAATCTTGTAATTTTTTAATTTTAAATGTAAAAATGTTGAAATGTGGGGGATGAAGTATTGTATGGTATCTAAACATTGACGGTGGTGATTATTGACTAATACTTAACCTGCTGTCATATTTTCATAGTGATGGCGTTAATGATTGTTTATTTCCACTCCTGTGGCTGATGTAAACAAATGTATTACAGTATTAACATCTGCTCATAACTGAGGATATACTGTCCATCTGGTTTTTGCCATATCTTTCTACTATACTTCTAAAAATGTTTTAATGGTTGGTTCAGTTTTTTTATTCTGTTCATATTTTTTAATGATTTCTGTTGGTAGTTCACGTTATGTCTTTAATTACTGTTGTCTCCACTTTATACCACATTATCAAAGGTGTATTCAGTAACATACCTTAATTCTAGATGTATATAATAATAATTTTCACTTGCTCATTTTGCATCAGTTTCATTACAAACAATTCATAAATTTAATTCTTGGACATTGGCCTTACTGTCAAAAAATATGCTGTCTTTGACTTATGTGTTAAAGAGAAGAGCAGTAGACTGAATATAAGAATTCCTTTTTAATAAACATGTTCACCAGAAAATATTCATTCATTCAGACATAGACCTGTGTCTAGTGTTGAATCACATCTGCTTCCAGGACATTACGATCTTAATATTAATAAATTAAAGTTCCTTTATTAAATTGGACGGTCAGTATGAACAACTTCTTATACAGTATTTTAAAATGAGATTAAGTTGAGCAGTAAACTAATATTATGTGACACAGACAAATATTAATTCTGTCCTCATGACTGGGTGTTGGATAGGGATCACCTGGCTCTCACCATAAAAGATGAACATGTTAAAAAAATGTTGGCTCAGGGTAGGATGTAGTGGCAGTCCCTGGTGAACTTAAAGTCAACCTTTGGGTTTCGTAAAAGGCAGGGAATTTCTTTCCCATCTGAGTGACTATCAGATTCCCAAGACAGACTGTGCTCCATGGAATTAGAGACAATTCAGAATTTATACTTTCATGGACCAAATGTGTCATGTATTGCATGCATGTGATCTTCTTTGGACTATTTGAACCTGCTACCATTGCGTCAGTTTCTTGATGGTTTTAAATTTTAGATACTGAAAAGAATGAAACAGATGGAGAAGTTCCTAAAACTGAAAAACCAGAAACAGAGGAGGAGAAAAGAGAGTCTGAAGAAACACGGAAAGATACTGAAGAACCTGTAGTGGAAGGAGAGGAGAATGAAGGTGAAACTATAGAAGAGGCAGAACCAATGTCACAACCTGAAGAACCCACATCAGGCCTTCCAGAAGACAGCGTATCACAGTCTGATGGTAAGAAACAAGTTATGTGGTTTTGAAGTATTGCATTTTCTGTACTATACTGTATTTTAAGATTAATTTTTTTCTTGGGTAAGTAAATCTTATCTTTTCTTATATCAACAGTTTATTATATTACTAACAGTTGACATTCTCTGTCAAAGATCTTATCCTGCAGTTTGTGTTCCCATTATTCAACTTTGTGTAACCATCTGAAACTAACAAAAATGTAATGTGATCTTTTGTTGTGTTGCTGTGTGTAAGAATCCACAGTAACATCTGTGCTGCTGATACCTACACTGGTCATGAAATACAGGCAACTCTCGGTTTACGAATAATCGATTTACGAACATTCGCTATAACGAACGTCACAGTTCATTCAAAATTTCTTAAAGTCACCAATAGATAGAGTTCTTATAAAACGAAATGTCAAACATATAGTAAACATAACTGTAAAATTTAAATAAATAAACTTTTAAAAATGTATTTTTTACAATAATTATCAGAAAATTATTGTATGATAATTAGTACATGGTTTTAATGCTTTAAAATGGCTGTTATCTTATACTATACATATTGTAAAAGCTCAGGAATGCAAGATACACATAACGAACAAAAACGTATAACGAACAATGTCTTGGAATGGAACTCGTTCGTAAACCGAGAGTTGCCTGTACTCCAGAGTTTCTATTATGAGGTAAAGATAGCACCATGAAGTCTAGTATTGGAAAATTCTGTGCACTCATCTGATTTGGCTTGATGTGACTTTTTCGTGTTCCCAGAAATTAGAAATCTCCTAGAAAGGCTCTCATTTTCAATCATTTAAAGACATTGAAAACAGAGTGACAACAAAACTGAAAGAGCTTTTGTAAAATTATTTTGAGCAATATTTCCAGGAATGGTAGAGACACTGGAATGTGTTTATGAGGTCAGAAGGTGGCTGCATTCAGTAAAGGTAGTGACTTTTTTCTCTTCTGCAGAATTAGTGTCATTATTTGTCAGAACTTGTCTTCAGTATATTACTTTAGGTTGGTGGTGTTGGTGTTGATGGTGCCATAGTGCATAGCTCATTAGAGACCTGTTCCAGATCCTGGAGAGCTTCCTAGCACAAGTGAGCCTTCATGGCTTGCCTCAGCTTTAATTGTGTGTGTGTGATCCATCTTCTGTTTGTCCTGATGCCTTCATGAGCGTGCCTTGTTTTTGTACATCTGCTTCATTTGTATATTACATTTCAGTTGTTTCCTTTTCATAGATAATTATACACATT